TATTTATTATTTATTTCATTTTTATTATTTTTATTTTATAAAATAAAAATGTATTTCCTGCATGTATATGAGTGCACTGTGTCATGCAATGCTGAGGTGGTCAGAAGAGGATGTCAGATTCCCCTAGAACTGGAGTTAAGAATGGTTCGTGGCCACCATGTGAGTACTGGGAATCAAACCCGGGTCCTCTGCAAGAGCAGCCAGTGCTCTTAACCTCTGAGCCATCTCTCCAGCCCTGTCTATATATTTTAAGAGTCAACTGTGCTCCAGTAGATAACACCACACCCATGTGCATATGGGCAGCACAAGTTGCACTCAGTGGGATATTAAAAAGAGGACATGAAATTGGGAAGGGGTGGGGGAGTGAGGGATGGATCCAGGAGGAGTTAGAGGGGTGAATATGATCTAAATGCATTGAGCAATGCCTAGGCTGGGTGCCCATCATTTCCCTTCACTTTATATGCCACATCCCAGCCCCTTGGCCCCACTTAGTTGCAATGGGTTGAGGATACAGACCTTGACCAGAAACCACTCAGCTGTCTCCTCACCTTTAGGTTGAACAATATAATATCTATGCATGACGTTCTCATCCACACACTTTAAAGAGATAGATCACAGTGATATTCCTCCCAAGATGACATGGACTCATTTAGGTCCCTGCTTCATCACGAAATATTTTAATATCTTAATAAGATCAGTATTAAGTACCCAATCTGGCTAGTGATTCCACCTGTAAAGACTGCCACTTGTCCCAGAAGAATAGTCTCCTGTGTATTGGTCATACACTGACTTGTAATTGGTAATAGTTTCCAAGCTGCATCTTTCCAGAAGAGTCATGAGATGCTGTATAGGCTGGGGAAGTTCTTGAAGGGCAGCTCTTTTCACAGTCAGTCCTTCAGCTTCATGTAGCTAGCCTTTGTTTTGTCCCCTCTGCCCCCAACAATAGGTAGCCTGGGCCATTTACTGTGTCTGTTCCCAAGTGTGACAAAGAGAGACAGAGTAAGCAGATGAACCCCTAGGAGCCTGTTCACCCCAACAGTGATGTATTATTCTGACCTTATGCTGGGACCATATCACAGCATGTCTCCAAACCATGACACTGAGGACTTCTGCAATGGAAGGTGCTGAGCTGAGAGTGCCTTGTTGACAATTGCTAACAAGGTGTGGGCCTGAGCTGGGCTCTTTGTTCTTGTGTTCATGGGCTGTAAGTGGAAATAGAGGAGCAGAAGCCCTTGACAAGTTGATCAAGTTTCTTCGCTTTCCAGCTGTGTGGCCTTGGGGTTTAAAGAGGTTTAAGAAAAAATTATCTCAGAAAATCATCAGGCTCTGAGAAAAATGTCCAAAAACCCATCTGCCAATGTGACCCTAATGGCCCTTCTTTTTTCCAGGCTGGCCATGAAGTTTGAATAATATTCTCTATAAAGCGTCAAATTCATATTCAAATGGTGTTTCATAGGTTTTGTGGTGTAACTGTGATGCTTAGCAATGCCATCAGAATCTTTCATTTAATAAGCATTGTGTTGAGTACACACTGTGTAAATAAGTTACTAGGTACAAAAGAACTATAAAGGAAAAGACAACTGGCCTTTGCCTTGGAACAGTTCATAATGTTGTAAGCATTAGTTAAATCTCTATCTAGCTTTATTTGTTTGTCTGTTTGTTTGTTTGGGGTTTTTTTTTTGAGGCAAATTCAGATGTAGCCTAAGTTGACCTTGAATTCTCCATGTAGTCAAGAATGACCTTGAACTGCTGATCCTCCTCTCTCTACCTCCCAAGTGCTAAGATCACAGGCATGTGCCACCATACCCAATCTATGCAGTGCTGGAACTAGAATGCAGGGTTTTGTTCATGTTAGGCAAGCACCCTACCAACAGAGCTACATTCCCAGCCTGCCGTGTCTATACATTGAAAGGCTGTAGCTAACCTAAATTTTTGGTCTCACCAGTATTTAAAGCCAGCTGTACTCATAACATAGACAAAAATAAGTGTGATTATCTTCTTTTTAAAGCAAGCCTAAACCTAAAACATATATTCCAGCATTGGTTTTATTTTAGAATTCTGCTCCTTGTCCCAATTGTCAACATACCTCCCTGCATTCCACCTACCAGTTGTCAGTTTACTGCCCCCATGCACCCCAATTACTAGGTTGTTATACAGCATTTATATATTGCCATGTGAAAAACAATTTTTTAAAATAATGATTTCAAAACATAATTGGTTGAAAACGTTGTATTTTAATGTGGACTTGCTTGATGTTCCAAATTATTTAAGTTAGAAACTTGGTGCTATAGTTCAGATGTGACTGTCCCCACAGAGGCCCATGTGTTAAAGGCTTAGTCCTCAGGGTGGTACCGTTGGGAAATGCCACATATATAGGAGGAAAAGCCTTGTGGAGGTCCTTGGGTCATTGGAGGCCAGCCCCTTGTTCTCTTGTTTTGCTTCCTGGGCATGAGTTGAGCAGTTAGTTTCACCATATACTCCCTCTCATTTCCATCTGTTGCCCATCAAGAGGCCCTGCTCCATGAGTCTTCCCAGGCTTTAACTGGAATCTCCAAAACTGTGAACCAGAACCAACCTTTCTTCTCTTTTTACTGCAATCCCTCCCCGTTTTTTGAGGCAGGATCTGGCTCTGTGGCCCAGGCTGGCCTCAAGCTATATCTTTCTGCCTCAGCCTCCCAAACAGTTGAGATGAGACATTTACCACAGGATCCACTAGCTTGCCCAGCAAGCTAGTCTTGTACATTGGAACTTAATGTAGCCTGATGATTTTTAAAAAATCAGCATAATTTCCCCTTTTTTTCTTTTTTTCCCTTCATCCCTTCCTTCCTTCCCTCTTTCCTTTCCATTTGCACGTCCCTTCTCTTTAATTTATTTGAAGTAAGGCATCATCAAGCATCACCAAACATCACCCGTCCACCTTGTCTACAGTATGTAGAAAACCAAGTTCATCATCATTGCCTCCGTTTACCTTCTTACTGCTCTTCTACTTTCTCAGGCCCTGAGATAGTAGACTGAAAACGACTCTGTCAACCAGGTCTCATTATTCCCCCCACCCCCGCCTTTTAGCAGAGAAGAAAAGATTCTAGCCAGGTGTTCAAGGCTGCAGAGCCCCTGCCTATGACACCCCTCTCCCTGGCTGGTAATATTTGTCTTCCCTTTGACTCTTTTCCTAAGCTCTCCCCAAGCCCTGTCATGCTTTCCTTGAAACGTTTCCTGCTTTCCTCCCTTCCCATTTCCCTCTGTCTAATCCAGTCCCTCAGCAGTGTCTCAGGGGCATCTGTTATACAGATTAATTGGTTGTAATTACCAATGTCAGCATGTCACGCCTCTTCTGTAAAGCTGCCAGGAGCTGCCTGCTTCCTATGGCAACAGATGTCAGCACTTTTCCTGTGTAAGGTCCTCCAGAGCCCCACTCACTCCTTGTACATGCCCAGCCTTGCTGCCCTTTCCTCCCTCTAAGCCCTAAAGTCCCATAACCCTCTTTGAGCCTCCCCCACAAGCCAGAGATCTTCCCTTTTTGCTTGGGGTTTGTCTACCCCTACCTGAAAATTCTCTCTCCCTGCCTGTTCCCCTGGGCCAAGTCCAGGTCCTTCCACCAATCTCTCAATTTTTCCTGATTATTCCAGGCACAACCCCAGGCCGCTCCTTCCTTCATCCCACATTTTCTTATTGTGCCCTACTTCAGAGCGGTGGACACAAGAGCCCCTCCTACATGGTTCTCTGAATTTTCCTTGAAATTGCATTGTCTTCTCAATTATATGTTTGGAAAATTGTTTGCATGTATATTTACATATCTTACGCATTTATATATGTGCATCTTTTGCAATGCTGAGAATAAACCTGTGCTAAGCAATAAAGTATAATTATTGCTCTTCAAATACAGGGCTTTAATTTATATTTTTCTCATGCAGTCCACTTTTTGTAGTGCTTAATAATTGATGAACAATTACTCTTTACTTATTAAGAGTTTATTGAGCTTCTCAAAGATGTCACCCGGAGCCACAGGCGGGTCAGACCTTTCAAGCATTTTTGTCAGTTGTTAGAATTGCAGCACAGTGTTCTAGTGCCTTCCAGATATTGAGGGGATCTGAAGCTGCTGTGCTCATGAGCTCTGGGAACCTGCGGCTCATACCAACAGCTGGATTTGTGTGTGGATCAGTGGTGGGGGAGCAGAGAGGTGGGGGCTCTCCTGATGAGAAGCTCAAGTTTACCAGGTGTGATACTCAGGAAAGGACAGGAGAAGCATTCGTCTTGTGATGCTCCTGGGTTCTTGGTGCACAGTGTGAAATGTGACCCTTCCTGGCTTCTCGCCCATGGCATGTCCTTAGACCAGCATTGACCTTCGTGTCCTGCTTTCTGTACTGCTGGCACAGTGCCCTAAGCTTTAATCTGATCTTTAAAAAATGTTTTTAGAACCCAGTAGGTACTATATCTTCCCCTGAAATGTGGGCATGTTTAATGTATTCCTGGTTATGGGAAAAGGAAGGTATGTTATTTGGAGAATCTGATCAACTTCCTGAATTGGGGGGCGGGGGGCTTTTCCCATGCCGTCCTGCCTTTCCTGATACCCACTTTCACAGGAAGGCAGCTACAGAGAGTACAGTACTTTGGACTGTGTTCTCCCTAAGTCACGGCTCCTGCAGGAATTTGCCCCTGCTAAGGGCTCATAAACCTGAAATCATTTTTCTTTAATGCCAGCAGGACTAATTCCACCCATATAGAATGGTTTGACCTTTTCACTTCCTCTCTGGCACTGATGGGAATTGGTAGAGGTTCAGATGAAGGTGAAATTGACAAGCTCTGGCACAGTAGGGACTTCAGTGCTTCTAAGCTTATTCACCTCATGTTTTGAATCCCTTGTTCTGCCCAGAAAGACTGCCCTTCCCACCAATGCCACCTAAAGGGGCATGAGGCCCATTTTCCTCAACACACACAGCAAAACACTGTGTCCCCTTTACCTGTCTGGCTGGAATCACTTAAAAGTTTTTAAATCTTTTTAGGTGGATGGAAGTCTGCTTAGTCGAAGAATTACCACCAACCACTGAACTGGAAGAAGGGCTCCGGAATGGGGTTTACCTTGCAAAGTTAGCCAAGTTCTTTGCTCCAAAAATGGTATCAGAGAAGAAGATCTATGATGTGGAGCAAACACGTTATAAGGTACTCAGAAACTAATTAGTTTTGACTTCCAGCTAAAAGCAAAGTTGAGTATTTCATTTCCTTTCCCCTCTTTTCCTCCTACTGTGTCTATAAGGATTTGAGATACGGGAGGTCCTTGGTCTTTGGAGCCTATTAACCATCATTCCTGAGGCTGAAGCACTTTAAGAAAGCCAAGAGTTCTATTTCCAGGCTAAGGCTGAGGGACCTCTATTTGGAAAGGGGGGGCTTCCAAAGTCTTCCCTTGTTCTTCTTTGTGGAAGCCATTTGGTATCAGTAACTATAAAAGCAAGGGCATGCTGTGCCTTCCCCCCCCCCACCACCAACACAGTTTATTATTCCTCAAGTTCTCCTGGAGGAGGAGTAAAATAGCCAAAAAAAAAAAACCCAAAACAAAACCCTCCTCGAGGATCAATGGGCAGTTCCTGGCTTCTGAGGGGGGGAGAGACATTTGCTTCAGTGGTGTAGCCACTGGTAAGTTACACATGTGCCTGTAAATAGCCTTTCACCCATGCTCCTGTAAGCAGTTCTGATTAAAGTCATTGGGCCACATCAAAGCAAAGACATGAAGCTAGAAGGGGAGAGCTCAGTGGGAAGAGGAAAGGAGATGAGCTGGAGTAGAAGGGGGAGAAGAGAGGGCAATGGGGTGAATATGATCAAAGTACATTGTGTACATTATGAAAATGTCTAACTGAACCCCATCATCATGTATAATTAATATATGCTAATAAAAACTTTATAAAAGTTTCATGAGACAAAATTCTCTGAACATGTGGCCCTAAAGAGTTAGAGCAGTGTGATAAAATGACATTGAATGGTCCTTGTGCTTGCGAGGAAAGTGCTCTATCCATGGAGCCATCTCCCCAGTCCAAACTTGATTTTTTATTCTCTTAATGTATTTAGGATTTTGCTTATGTTTTGTGGTTGCTAGGCAAATGCTCAGACCCCAGAGCTATACTCTCAGGCCCTGTTTAGGGTTTTCTGTTTCTCTCCTCATTTTTCCTTCTCTCTCCCTCCCTCTCTCTTTGTTAGAGATTGAACCCAAGGCTTTGTGCATTGCTAGGCAAGCACTCTTAACACTGAGCCCTAGCCCCAGCCCTGTATTTAATTCTGTATTTAATATTTTTGTCTGCAATCCTTAAAGGTTATTTCTCTTACAACTGCAAAGAAAATATGGAGAATTGAAAATAAAATAAATGGGAAATATGTTTTAGATATAATGCATTCTTAAATGTACATATTGGATTCAGATCAGTATTTGAGTGACTTTGAACAGTAGACAGAGTCCCATGGCAAATCTTTTTTGAGTCTAGCTTCATTGTTTAGACAGAAGGGTAACCTAGCACAAGTCTCTGGAATATGGGTAGGAATAGTGTTTGCATTTGTTAAAGGAAGTTTGGGTTCCTGACATCACTCCAGAGACCCTAGATTTTCACAACACTAATAAAACAGTGAGCAAGTCAGCCAAAATTTAAATCTTTTTATTTTAGTGAGAGATAATTTTAGAGAAGCACAGGAAAAAAAATTCCACTTCCCCCATCCACAAGATAGACATGAATCCACATTTCAGGCCCTGGTTCTTCTTTTCTTCATTGCTTTCATTATGGCTATTATCAGATTCTAGGTCTGTTAGTGACTTGATGATGACATGTCATTGGGCCAGGTGCCAGCCTGCCCCTGAAAGGGGAAACTGAGATTTCCCTTTGACTTTGTGGACAGTGAGGATCAAGTGTAGAGACAGATCCTCTAGGGACATGAGCCACTGAGACACTCAGGGGCTAATTCTGTCTTGGACACATCATGGTGTCAGCGTCCACATCCACTGTGGTCCTCCATGGCAATTGCCTCAAGGTGATTTAATCAGATCCCTTCTCCTCGTGGCATTAGAGGGCATGCTGCTGGAATGAACATCAGCTTCTTTTTGGGATGGAGACAGAGGAGATGACATTTTTCAGTCCCTGTTAGGAAAAAAATATTTGCAGGGTCCAGGCAGGTGATGACATTGTGAGTGAAGCATCAGAAGAGAGATGCGTTCTCTGTGGCCGTCCCCCGGGGGCCGGGAAAACAGGGCTGTGCAGAGTGATGCTCAGCAAGGGGCAGAAGGAGGGAGACTGCTGCCAGCTGTGGCGTAGGAGCCTTCCTGCCACTGAGCTGGAGGAAGAACAGGGATGTGTGGCAACGACCCCTTTGTGGATTCTCTAGGAAACAGCTTTTTTCTTTTATTATGTACCTTAATATGCCCAGTATTCTTGAAAGAAATTCTCAGTAGTTGGCTATATAATCATAAAATTTTATTTTTTTTTCATTGCGTATACAATCATAAAAAGAGATAAACCTTCATGGGTATGTAACACAACTTCCTGCTCTTGTGACTCTTGGGGTGAGAGCCCATTACATGGTATCTCCAATGATCCCTAAATCACAAGACGGCAGTAAGGATGTTTAAATATAAGGGATGCTCCCTAATGCAGCCTCAGCTCCTGATCTTGCCATCTGGAAACCATGAGTCCAGAGAACTTGGGCTCTTGCTGCAGCATCTACCTAGGCTGCAGCTGTAAAATAACAACCTTCCTGTTAGACACAGTGTCTGTAAGGCAGGGCCATATCACTGAGCCCTGGACACAGTGTTGGCACTAACAGCTATGATAGCCATCCTCTGTCCTGCCCTCTTTGTCTGGCAGCCAGTGTAGTGCCCTAGTGCCTCATTGATTTAGTTTAGAAAGATGTTCTGAGTACTGGATCTGGGCTTTCCAGGAATGAATCCTCCATTCACAGGCACCTCCGTCCTTTACACAAGATACCTGACCATGCCGTGTGTGCTGTCACTACCTATCTTGCATGCTCAGTGTGTGTTAAAGATTGCCTAGAGAGCTCTTAAGATGGCTCAGTGGATAAAGACACTAGCTGAGCCCGATAATCCAAGTTTGATCCCTGGACACCCACCCCCGGCCCCATGGTAGAAGGAGAGAATTGATTTCCACAACTTGTCCTCTGACCTCCACACGAACACCATGGAACATGCATGTGTGCATGCACAGGCACATACACACAAAAATATAATAAATAAATAGCAGAGTTATATGTGGCTTCTGTGCTCCATCCTCAGTGAGAATGCAGGGTCTAGCCCATGGTAGGGGCTTGGGAAATAGCTGGGTGAAGGACTGCACAGTAGGTTTTTTTTTTTTTTTCGGTCTTTTTGAGACAGGGTCTCCCTGTAGCCCCAGCTGTCCTGAAACTCACTATGTAGACCAGGCTGGCCTTGAACTCACAGGGATCCACCTGCCTCTGCCTCCCGAGTGCTGGGATTAAAGGTGTGCGCCACCACACCCAGCTGCACAGTAGTTTTAAGTAAACCAGATCACTCATCATTGTCCCATCCCGTGCTTTACTTGGAACTCATTCAAGGTGCTTAGAGTTTGACCCTCAGCCTCTGAGAGCCTGTTGCAGGGCCACCTGATGGGTGTGTGCAAAGACTGAACTCCTGCCCCACCCCACACTGCTGAATTCAGCAGTCTCTTGACTTTCTGAGACTGGCCTACAGGAGAGTCTTCTCTCCTACCAAGAGTTGAGAAGCACAAGCCTTGGCATAAAAATTACACAGTTGTAAGGAAAGAAGATGAAGGTGTTCCATGACAGAAGCATGTGTGGGTTGACATCCCCATCTGAAAATCAGAAATCCAAAATGCTATCAAATCTGAAACTGCATGCCAGCCATGCTCAAATGGATTTGGATTTTAGAGCATTTTGATTAGAGATATTCAACCAGTAAAGTCTATGCAAATATTCCAAAATTTGGAAAACTTTGAAATTGGAAATATGATCCCAAGGATGTCAGATGAGAAATGCTCTATCTGTATAGAGTTTTATTACTCACCACCACTTGACTGCTTCTGCACACAGCTTTGCTATAGGTGGGACTAGCAGAACAGTCCTGAAGTTTTGGTGCTTGTAGCTATGTACATGGTCACTGTATACTTGTAGTTTGTGTCCAGTGTGTGCAGAAAGACATGACAGCCAGTGTTGACAAAGAGCAGTGCGTAGGTGCCTGGCTTCCTTGATGAAAGGTTGACTCTGAGACTGGAAGAATGAGAAGAAAGCCATCTCTTAGTTATATTTCTTGTTGCTATGACAACATCCCTGTCAAAAGCAACTTCAGTAAGGAGGGGTTTCTTTCAGCTCACAATTTGAGGGTACAGTCCATCAGGGTGGGGGAGGCATGGCATCAGGAGCGTGAGACGGTAGGTGGCGCAGCTTCTGCAGTAAGGAAATGGAAGAATGCTGCGTTGCTCAGCTTGCTTTCTCCTTTGGAGGCAGTCCAGGCCCTCAGCCCATAGACGGTGCTGCTCATATTCAGGATAGGACTTCCCACCTCCTTTAACCCAATTTAAAAACTCCCTCACAGATGCCCAGAGACGTATCCCCTTGGTGACTCTAGATTCTGTCCAGTTGGCAGTCAGAATTAACCATCACACCATCCATGCATACTCAGGGGTGAGGAGTGGGAAGAAAATTTTGAGGGAAGCTTGGTAAAAGTCTCAGGAAAGAAGAGAGTTTGGCTACCACTGCCAAATTGAGTAGCTGGCACGTGCTCACTGAAAGCAGTGCTGACCTCAGCCACTGTGAGCAGCAAGATAAACAGCATTTGGACTTGGAGTCAGGGTTCTGCAAAGAGTCTGTCCCAGTCTCATTTCTGTGGTTGTCTGTGATAAAAATAAATAAATAAATAATACCCTGACAAAAAGCAACCTAGGGGAGAAATAGTGTATGCTGGCTTACAGTTCCAGGTTACTGCCATCATAGCAGGGAAGTCAAGGCAGGAGCTTGAAGCAGCTGGTCACATCACATCCACAGTCAAGAGCAGAGAGAAATGAATGCATGCATGCCTATTACTCAGCTCACCTTCTCCACTCTCTAGGACCCAAACCCAGGGAATGGTGCCACCTATAGTGGGCTGGGTCTTTTCACATCAGTTAACATAATCAAAGCAATCCCCACAGATGTGC